TTGATGGAATTTTCTAACAGTGTAGAAATTGCTCGGTAGAGAGAGGGAAAAAGGGGAGGTGATGGTGGTGAAGAGGGGGGGGGATATTCCTTTCCCCTAATATCTTATTATAACTCTCTGAAATGCTATGATGGTTCGGGGTTGGGGCGATACCCCCCCCCCCCCTTCCACCCTTATGCCCCTTGGCCCCTCTTTCGACGCAACTAGGAGAGGGGGAGGCTAAATTCCCCCCCTCCCCATCCTCCTGTTTCGACGACCCTGCTTAGAGGTGTTCCAATGAGCAATGACGAGGAACAGCACAGCCTGCAATTTTCGAAATAACGGTTCAAGAGATTCTGGAATTAAAACGGCTCGCGTTCCATGAACTCAAGAGTGGCCATGACAGACTTTCAAGCGAAAGACTCGTGCAAGTGCACGTATATAGTGTGCGGGCGCGTTCAGTGACGTCATTTTATAGTTGATACCTTTGACGACGGAGTCAGGATTATCAGTTGCGAACGACAAATTTGATGGTGCGTGTTCAAATGAACGATGTCAAGTTTAGTATCCTTGCGTTCTTGAACCATCACCGCCAATATTGAAAACCTGACATTACTTTCATTTCCTTATTTTCGTTGATAAACATACTTAATCCCAAACTTACTGATCTTCGAATGTTTATCCCGCCGATGAAGGGAAAACTGCCCGGAGGCGAAATTCGCCCATAAGTGGACAACGATAGCCGGCTGGTTGTGACCTAGCCACGTCGGGCTACACTTTGGCCAGATTCGAAAGGCCGAGATAAATCAAAAGAACGGCAGGGACGCTTTTTAGTAAATTCTGCTTTATCGGCGGAAATAAGAACGATATCAGACTATCAACTTCGACGGTGTTGATTTTAAAATGCAATTCCCAAGCCTCCATCGTGCTTTTTAGAGAACATCAAACATGACGGTCGCAGCTGATAATCTTTGTTGTGACGTCACACGTATGAGCCACGGTCGTCTCTGCGCGCTCCCTAGTGCTGATCTGGTTCGGTGCCTAGGGAGGGGTAGGGATTTTTCGCCCCCTCAACGAAAAACGTCACGAAGACAGATGGATCTGCGGGTTTGTGAGAAAAGAAAACTTCGCAGCAATCTTTCGGCTCCTCCCCCCACTATGTCATAACACAAAGAATATTTTTGTTGACGAGTTTAGCGACCCAGTCTGTCTATGCTGGAAAAAGCGGTGGAGAAACTGCATCGTGACTGGGGGGAGGAGCCTAATCTCCATCGCCGACAAACTACATCGGAAGGGAGCTGCACCGTGACGTGTCCGGTGACGTCGACGAACAGTGGCGATTGAGTTGAAACTACATCGTTTCTTTTTCCCTACAGGGAATTTCAGAGAATCGCCGAGTGGGCTAGCGCACACGCACACCAGCTCGGGGTACGTGGAGCGAAAGCTCGCGCTGCAGAGCCCAGAGATCCTGGGTTCAATCCCCGCCCCTGCCCGTTTCGATCTGGATGAGCATCGTACCGGCGTGCGGTCGTGTATCACTACTGCATGATGTACGTTAAAGACCTCGGGCTAGCAGTCGTACTGCACTGGCTAAATTGCTTATCTACAGTGGGTAACAATGTCGCCATGTTCAGGCAGACTAACCTCCTGCTGTATAAACAACTAACGACCAATTTTACTTTTTGGCTATATTTGACTGCGTTAATGCAGCTTCTCTCGTGCTGCACGGGAAAGAAAAAAATGTTCCTTCGGGGGTTAAATGTTCGGTGAAGTAAGAAGCAAAAAAGAAGAAGAGAATATTTTCCTCAAGTTGGGTTTGTGGCAGAAGAGGAGGAAAAAAAAATCATTTGTTAGTTCCATGGTGTGTATGGTCTTTTCTTTATGTGTATGTTTATTCTAGTTCAGCTGGCCCTACCTGAAATAGTTGCTTTAAAAAAGTATATCTGTCCCTCTCTCTCTACCTGAAGTATGAACGATCTAGCTCAACTTAAGCCTGTTACCGTTGCTTGCTTGGATTTTCGCTCAGCCAAATCGCTTATATGGGGTGCACTCAAATGAAAACATAATCGTGTTGAATTGTGCAAGAGTACTTAGAATATTTATCGATCACGCCGCTGAACTTGCATCGTTCGAAGAACTTCCTTTTTGTGAGCGCCTTCTCTGCTTGAGTTTGTTGGAAACACAGCCACTTCGATTCGAGGCAATTGATGATAGCTTTGGTGACATCACCAAGTACGCGACTCACAGAACACTGGAGAACACCAATGTTTTCGCCGCTCCCGACGGTTCCCTGGAAGCCACCAGCGGCGTAAAAGCGTAGAGCTGCGAGGACTTGTTGTTCGATCGTCAGCACACGGGGCCCTTCAAGACAACGCTGGAGCTTTCCGCGAAGCTGGTCACACAGCCAGCGAGTCATCCTTTGGTCAGCCGGTATTCGACCACAAACCTCGCATCGCTCGTCTCGAAAGCATCCCGATGATCTCTAAAAACTCGATCCGCTGGCGAACCCAACAGTAGAGATGCATATGCTAGGGTCGCCATTTTTTACGATTCAGATTCATCTTTGGCTACGCATCGACCACTCAGTTAACTGCATCATCAAAGTGCATCGTGACGACATTTTGACGACACCGCCAACTGCATCATTTTACGAGCATAGCTCGAACTGCATAGGGAAAAACCAGGGTTGTAAAAGTTACTTAAAAAATGTACCTAAGGTACAGTTACAGTTACTCATACGAAAATGTACCTAGGTGCGTATCTAGCTACTAGCTTAAAAATTTACCTAGGTGCAGGTACAGTTACTTCAAAGGTACTTTTTATTTTCACGTCAAGTATGTTTCTGAAATTTGTCACATTATTACTGGAAGTAAATCCTTTGTATACCGGGATGTACACAAAAACAAGTTTAAAAAACACGTTTGAAAAACGTGCTTTTTTGGTGTCAATGCGAGAAATAAGGCAAAACGCTCTCACCAGAGCATTCGAAGACTTTGTCTTTTTCACTTGAATGCTCGATTTGACCTCAGAATCAGGACTTCTTTGAAATGTTCATCCGACATCTTCGATCGCAGTTTGGTAGCAATTGTTCCTCCTAAGCTAAAAACGCGCTCCACCGCCGCACTGCTTGAAAGCCCTGTGTTGAATTTTAAGAACACGCTTTTCAGACGCGGCATGTGCTTGAGACAGTCCAGACTTCTTGTCGGAGCAAGTTCGGTGTACTGTACACACTCCTGCTTCCATGAAGCAGATGATGACGATGTTTCGAAGAAGTGCTCACAGTCTTCTTCATCCTCACCACTTTGTTCGCCTGACGACGCTTTTTCTATAGTTGATGTTCGCATAAGTCCGTTCTTTAGATAATCCCAGGCCCGCTTCCTTTCCACTTCGTTGTCTATCCATGCAACCTTAAATTTTGGATGACATACGGCATATATTCTAAAATGTTTTTGTTCCTCCATACCTGCAAACTTCTTATTGATCGCCGCGATTAAGCTCTCGACCACCGGGCGGCAGCACCTCAAGTTCTCCGTCAGCAACGCGGACATTTTTTTTTAAGCCACTGTAGGCAGGAGATATGCCATAAACATGCTGTTTTCGTGCTGGAGCTTGTGCGAGAGGTGCAAACACCTGAACATACTCATCAATAAAGTCAATGTCTGACTTCGTGAATCGCGGAATTTTAAAATTCTCACAAATTTCCTTCAACTTTCCCTCACCGTGAACAAGCATTCCTTGAAGCGATTTGAGGCAATCGTATGTAGAGTTCCACCGCGTGAGTACAGGCGTGGGCAAATATCCTTCACAGCTTGAAGAGATGGCGTCAGGAACCACATTAGACCTCGCTTGCTTCTTTCATAATGCCGAGCACTTGCTGAAAGTCTGCCTTATTTGCTTCTTCAGCTGCGGCGACGATTACTCAGCGTTCTCCACGTCCTGCAGAATTAAAAGTAACATCAACCGATTGCCGCTGTAAGAGTTTGCCTATTTGCCTTCGTTGCGATCAGATTCAGCATATGGCACACACAGCGCTGGTGGTGAGGAATTGAGTAGACCCCATCAGATTGGTCACGAGCTTCGAGGACGTTATAGATTGGAACAGGTGCACAGATTTCCTCTTCTATCTCACTCTCCGATGATGTGTCTGTGTAGTCTTCATACTGCCGCCCAAAATGGCTGTATAAAATAAAAAATAAACATCTATTCTGGCGAAATTGTTCGAATTTTCTAGTAAGAAATATCAAAGATTTCATTTTCACCTGAAAGCCTTTATGAAATTGGAGCCGCTGTCCGTTGTGGTACAGGTTATTTTGTCGAGGATATCCTACTCTGTGTATATCGCTTCCTTCGTCTCAGCCCCATCCTTACTGATTTCGCTCATCAACTTGGGTCGACTCATCACGTGACGGCCAGGGAAGCCGTACTGCATCAGATACCTGAAACTCTTCTGTTTCGCGAAGAAGAACGGCAAGTTGGCATTTACAATCAGTTCCTGAACCATTTTGTCTAATGCATCTGAAAACCAAATATCAGTTCATTCAATAAATGCGGGGCTGCTCTTCGGTAGCAGTACGAATCTATCTTAGAACGTATTGTAGACAACTTTCCGTCTGTCAACACTCAATTCTGTTAAAGAACTCCGGCACGTAGCAAGGATCTTGTTGCGGGCGGGAGGGCGGGCGGGGTGGGGGGGGGGGGGGGGGGGGGCGATTATGACAAGATGCTATAGGTGGGGAAGGGAGAAAGGAGGTCCCAGCAAAACCAATTTGAGGGGGGGGGGGGGGGGCAAACCCCTGGCTACGACTGAAGAAACTCCCTCCTGGTTTCTAAAACCAGGAGGAGTTTCTCAAAGGTACTACAACATCCAGAGTCACAGCTATAATTACGTGCGGAAAATAGTATTGGGAGACCTTCGATATGTAAATGTTCATTTCACATAATTAAGCACAACAAAACTGGCAGGTTTCGTTGTCAAAACTTGATGCAGCAGTAGAAGTATACAAACATCAAGGGCAGATAATCTAAGTACTCGTACTCTGGCCGAACGGGGACTTCGAGCTCCTGATGCAGTCTGCCACTGATGGCTGGACTGCTGCTATTCTATGTTGTGGAGGCCCTGTGCTACATTCGGGTCTTTCCTTGGGTACCGCGGCTTTCCGTTTTACCCCGGCGACATTCTTCTTGCTCTTGTTGACACTCTTTAGTGCTTCCTTGTGAGGCCTCTGGAATAAGCAAAGCATGACTAGTTAATACTTATTGCACCGTATCAGAACAACTCAGCGGCGCAGGACACTAGTCCAACTAGGTTTCAGCATTAGCACTTGAGCCGAAAACGATATTTCTGCCAGACGCCAAAGATGTTCAACAGCGGCGGAAAATTCCGGACGTGCGGGCATTAAAAAGGAAAAAAGTGGTTGCTTTCAGTAAAACTAAAATGAAGACGATATCTAATTGACCAATGACAAGGCAGCTTACAAATAATTGTTGTGGGTCGGGCTACAGGCTACAAACAACCTATTCGCTAAAGCGTCATTCGCGAAAACGTCCATTCGCTCATGTGATTCCTATTCGCTAAAGTGTCATTCGCTAAAACGTCATTCGCTGATATAATATGGGCCACTTACCATCAAATGCTTTCTGAGATTAGACGTGCAAGTGACGGACGCCGAGATGATCTTGATTTTCAGGGCGCCCTTCAGACACCTAACATCAATGTTCCCATTCTCTTTCGTTTTCACGAGTTTAAAATGATCCCTATAAAAGGGCCATGGTGCATCTGATTCGCCTTCTTTTACGCTACTGACGATTTCCGTCTCATTGATGATCGAAGACATGACGGTGAAGGTAAGTTGTGTCCGCAAGTCAACCAGGCAACCAAAGACAATGGGGCTGACTCAACCGACTCAACACTTGACCAGAGAAGGCAGCACGTAACTTAGCCACGTGGTCACGTAGCCTTCGTTGTTGTTGTTTCCGAGAGACCACTGTATTTTTTTTTTCCTTCTGCTCTTCTTCGCCACAGCGGCACGCTTAGCATAGAGCCCGAGTTGCCCGGGCGCCCGGGCCCGAAAAGTGGCGGCGCCCGAGAGCCCCGACAGGCCGGAGCCAGTCGGCGAGAAACAGCCACCGGAGCAGCCTCCAACTCGGTAGAAGCTGGCAAATGGCAAAACAGAAGGGCCCGGGGAGCCAGTAAGGTCACTGGAGCGAGGCACGTGACGGCGCTGCACAGATGTCGACATCGCAGTTGAGTCCTCACGTGCCTTAGTCTCACGCTCCAATTGGCTCACCGAGGACACAGCGTCCACTGTTTACGACGTCCCGCTAAAACTCGCTTGTTGACGTGGCTTGCCCTTCAGCGCCAGCGCTGGCACCGAAGCCATCGGCGGGCCCAGAAGACGTCGGCCGCATGCAGAATCGAAGAGTCAAGTGCACACGCACCTAACCTTCGCAACGCAACGACGAGCGAAAGTCTTCAAGCTTTCACGTTTTTTCTTTCGTTCTTAGGAAGGAAGAGAATATTTAGCGCGAGCGCGTTTAGGAGCTCGTGTCACAGAAAATCCGTCGGATGTCGGTGGCGTCGGTTGCGTGACAGGAAATTCCTGAATGGTTGATAGAGTCGTGACGTCACAGTCACATGACTTCGCGCGGGAATTTCAAACCCACAACGCTCATGTGAAACGCGACGTCACGCGTGGAATGAAGGTGGTTAAAGACATACGAATTAATGATCGCCGCATGTTCCAAATCATCCCACTTGATAAACTAATTCATTTGCCTTAAAGAAAGTTTGAAGAATTTACGCAGGATCGCACCCACGATCCTTCGGTTGCGAGCCAGACATGCTACCGACTAAGCAACGGAGGGCTTGGGAATGGCACTGCGATCCTGCCATCATTAGAGTGCCTCGATGTCTGTCTGTGTCAGGGTAAAGGCATCGTCGCATCGAGTGTTGTTAGCGCGTGCCGAGCAAACACATAAATAAACCTTGCGGGGTAAAATGGCATCAAAGAACTGGCAAAAGCTCCTTGATCGCGCCGGGAGTGTTGTAGCATAAGAACTAGGTCGTTGTGTGACTCAAGAGCATGAGAAGCGATTGAGAAGGCCATGCGAACGGGGCCCGATAACCCTATCACGTTCAACTCTTGAAGGCGAGGCTTAAGAGACCTCCCAGTTTTGTTTCTTCACAAACTTTTTAAGTTTAGTAAAGTGCAAAATTTGAGTTGGATTTATTGCGTGGAAACACTACGTGGTCTTAAATTGCTTTACGACTGTAATTATAATTCATTTTCACTTATATGTTGTATTTTCTGCGATTTTGACGAAGTGAATAGAAAAGTACCTGTAAAAAGTAACTTCACATAGTTACAAGTTACTGGAAAATGTAGCTAAGATACAGATACAGATACTGAAAAATGAGAGTACCTAGGTTTGTACCTCAGTTACAACAAAAGTACCTAGATACCGATTTACAGTTACTTGTACCTAGGTACTTTACAACCCTGGGAAAAACGACATTTCAACGTCATGTCACGTGACCCGAGAGAATAGCCAATCAGTGCCCGATGCAGTTTTCTACATCATTTAGTTTGCGTTCCAGCATAGACAGACAGGACTCGAAATGAACGAAAGTAATGTTAACACACGCAGTACAGAGACATATGTACTTCCTCAATCTCACACAAACTATAACTTTCAGTCACAACATTATAATGTACCATGCTTATTAAACAAGTATATCACAAACAACATAAACATATACACGTCAAACAAAAAAAACCTCCGCTTGTACTGTGTGTAGTTTCGCGTAGTGGGATTTTGAATTGCATGTTTTTGCTGTGATTTTTTTTTCTTATATATATATAACATATGTTTTTCAGTGTCAAAGCTGCTGCCAAAGTAAAGGAATCCCAGACCCAGTCAAGCTGTATTTAAGAGCTTTTTTGAATGAATGAATGAATGACTGAATATTTATTTTTTCCGGAATGAACCGAAATGGAGGCTCGAAGCCTGACGAAGGTCTCTGTCCCCAAAGCAGCGCTTTCCAGCAGCACACATTTTACAAAGTTAACGCTTAGTAATAAACATTATATTCATTTTTTTGAATATACAAGAAGAACAACTAGTTATTACATACAAAATCAAATAATAAGGGGTTATCACTGCCCACCATGAGTGACTTGAGATCCCTTTTAAAATTTACTAAAGTTGCTATTAAAATCTATGTGGTCTTTAACGTTATTCAGAGCTTTACTGACTTGATATTCCATTGTTTGTGTTCCATAACTTGTACGGGTCTGAGGGGGCCGCCTATATGCGTGTCGAAGAGGGTATGCATGCGTTACGTCACTTAAATCCGTCACATATAGCTTTTGTCTGTGAATCAGTTGTAATAATTTAAAATAATATATCTGATTGGACCTTAAGAGTGCCACATTTTTTTTAATAAAGTGGTGCAGTGTGAAGGTCTTGTATGTTACCCTTATCATTTTCAAGTAAGCGCAACATTTTTTTCTGCAGTGTGAGGAACGAGTTATAGTTTGTGGTCGATGTCGTGCCCCACACTAGAAGACAATAACAGAGCCTAGAGTAAAAGAGCGAATAATACAAGTTTTTCTTTAGCCATGTTGGTATAAAGTTCCCTATTTTATATAGACATCTAACCGACCGTAAAAGCTCGGAACTTAATTTCTTCACGTGTGTGTTCCAATTTAGCTCTTGATTAAACCAAACTCCCAAAAATGTTTCTTCGTGGACTTGTTCTATAATTTCGTCTTTAAAATGTATAACTAAGTTGGTACTATCGCGTTTGTTTTTAGGTGCTAATAGTATATACTTCGTTTTTTTTTTCGTATTTAAATTTAGCTTGTTTGCTTGAAGCCATGTAGCTAGGTCGGCAAGATAGCTATTTGTCAATAGTTCTAACTGGGCTTTGGATGAATCTGCAAAAAATACGCTGGTGTCATCCGCATACGTAATAAGCTCATGAGTTCCCGTGATTGCTGTAATATCGTTTATATATAGAAGAAACAGAAAGGGACCTAAGATCGAACCTTGTGGAACTCCGCATTTGATTTCCATTGTACTTGAGACAGTGTTATTCATTTTAACAAATTCAAATCGATTTTTAAGATAATTTTTTATGAGAGCCGAAGCTGTTCCACGTATTCCATAAGTATGTAGTTTTCTGAACAGTATGTCGTGTTGTATAGTGCCAAACGCTTAACTTAGGTCTAAAAAAATTCCCAGCGTATATAGTTTATTCTCAGTATTGTATATTATTTTGTCCGTTGCCTCTACGAGTGCTTGCTCCGTGGATTTACCTTTCTGAAATCCATATTGTGATTTGTTATTCACATGATACTTAGATAGAAATTGGTCTATTCTGCTTTGTATAACGCCCTAAAATAATTTAGAGAATATAGGCAAGACAGAAATTGGTCGAAAAGTTTGTAAGTATTCTCCGCCCCCTTTGTATACAGGTGTAGCTTTAGCAATTTTAAGTTGCTCAGGAAATGTACCCGTTTCTAACATGCAATTTATGATGTGCAATAAGACGTTGCTAATATCTTCGGAAACGTATTTAATAGGAACTGGTTTAATGTCGTCGATGCCAGCAGCTACATTGTTTTTTTTTATTTTTGTTATTAGTAGTTCCATTTCCTGTGGGGTGACTGGTGATAACATTATCGAGTTTGTTAAGGAAGTCGTGCTACGTGTGTCGTGATATGCTTGCGTAACTCCAGTACACTCGCCAACTTTTACAAAATGCTCGTTCATTGCGTTAGACAAGTCTAACCCGCTCACACGCTTGCCATCGACAAACACAGATTGTATTTCTGTGGCGCGATTGCTACTGTTTGTGACGGTATTTACCGCTTCCCATACTTTTCTGGGCTCATTCTGGACGCGAACAAATAGGCGCTGATAATAATCTTGTTTTGTATTTTTCAAATCAGTTGTTAGCTTATTTCTGTACTTTTTGTAGGCTGCTAAAATATCTTGATCTCTGCTTTTAAAAAGAAATCATGGTATTTTTTTATTTTTTTATTTAATCCGATCGCATAACTCATTGGTCATCCAAGGTTTGCGCAATCTACCCTTTCTTTTGTTCATCAGTTTAAGTGCGAAGGCATCGTCATAACATATTTTAAGTTTTTTTAGAAAAGCTGGCGTACGCGATATTTGGGTCGTGTTCAACATACTCACTGTTCCAATCGATGGCAGTGATTAGGTCACAAAACTTTATCAAGGAATCTTCGTCTATTTTCCTGTAACTGTAACCGCTACGTTGAGTTTGCTTTTTTTAAGGAATGTTGCAAAACAGAAAATAGGTAAATGGTCACTTAAGTCGTGCGTAAAAATGTCAGAAGATACCTCATGAGTGTTTAAATTAGTTATACATAGGTCGAGACAAGTAGCGGTATCTGAGGTCATCCTGGTGGGCAGTGTTGCCGTATTAATACATCTGAAGGCGTATTTTGTCTGGCGATCCTTCCAGTTTTCTGGAAAATACAGGTTTGATTTGATAATGAAAAACAAAGAGGCAATGATCAGATAGGAAAAGGGCAACAGCGTCTCAAAACCAGCACAGAAATTATTTGCTACATCAATCTCACCATCGAGTTTGGTTACGCCACCGCTGCCACAATGCATCGAGGGAACTTTAGTATTTCTGCACGTGCGACAACCTAGCTGGAGCTCTGCGCATGCAGAGCATGAGGCGGCACCACGGTGGAAGAAATACATTTAGGTGA